AACTTATATAATTCTGCACTTCTTTCGAAATGGGTGAACAAGGTTTTTTTTCTTGATAATGTTAATTTACAAACAATACTGTGAAGTGGGTTAGATCACTCAGGAAGCTTCATGACTGAGTGAGAGTTTGAACCTGTGTTGTTTCCACAGTCCTTGTTGAATACTTAAAACACCACACTGGCTTTTTATGGGCTTCCCATCCCCTTAGGACAACAGAAAGAGCCATGCCAGTTGGACAAGAAATGTTAGATTAGGCATCCTTCAGTCTCGAGAGACTATGGTAACGTGCTCTGAGTAGAAAACTTGGAACAGCATCTAGTGTGGCTGAGAAGGCCAATATGAGAGTGACAATCCCTTCCACACTGAAGACAAATACAATCTGTCCCTGTCCAGCTGCCTGATTTGGCTGATTTTGGGACTGCCTCTTTGCCTCAGCCTGCTGAACGAGTGTCTCTTCAAAATGGGAGCGGCCGTGATGCACCGCCTGCCTCCAGGCTGAATGCTCAGATGTCAAGGTTTCCCATCTGTTGAGGTCCATTCTTAAGGCCTTCAGATCCCGCTTGCAGGTATCCTTGTATCACAGCTGTGGTCTCCCTCTGGGGCGATTTCCCTGCACTAATTCTCCATACAGAAAATCTTTTGGAATCTGACCATCAGCCATTCTCATGACATCCCGACCCAACGTAGATGTCACTGTTTCATTAATGTATACATGCTAAAAATTCCAGCTCATTCTAGGACTACTCTATATGGAACTTTGTTCTGCCAGGTGATAACAAAAATGCGTCAGAGACAGCGCATATGGAATGTGTTCAGCTTCCTCTCCTGCCGTGCACAAAGGGTCCAGGACTCACTGCAGTACAGGAGTGTGTTCAGGACAAAAGCACTATAGACCTGGTTCTTGGTATACGCCATCAGCTTCTTATCAAGCCATACTCTCTTTGTGAGTCTAGAGAACATGGTAGCTGCTTTGCCAATGCATTTATCCAGCTCAACATCTAGGGAAAGAGTGTCAGAAATTGTTGAGCCAAGGTATACAAAGTTATGAACAACCTCCAATTGTTTTGTGGAGCTGTACAAGAAATGTATGGCTTAGGAAATGTAGGTGTAGTACAGGGTACTATCAGTAGGTACACCTCAGATGAGCAAAGTCCCCTGGGAACATTTCCACCACAATGACTGGAAAAGAAATGGAAAATTCACAAAAATACCCTTTGCACTCCTATCTTCTCACTGATGACCCCTGTTAATCTGTAGGCATTTTTGTTTTGTTCTAAATCATTAGTCAGATAGCTGCTGCAATTTACTTTAATTACTAAAATTGTCATATTTATATGTTCAATTCGTGTTAACACCCCCACACTCAAGAAGTAACCTATGACTCACAGTTTGTATCATGCATTCAGGTCTACAAAGAATCATCTCTATTGTTTTCAACTACTGTGTTTTCCTTTGTTGCATAGGTTACAGTGATTGGTTACACTCTAGGGATACCTGATGTTATCATGGGCATTACTTTCCTAGCTGCAGGAACCAGTGTACCAGACTGCATGGCCAGTTTAATAGTAGCAAGGCAAGGTAAGGTCCATGTTGGGTTCAGAGAAATAACTGTTTTGTCTCTTCATTAATGAAACTATGTCTTGAAATTTTGTTATACACAGATGGGGCTGGCAGCACTTAAGAATCAGAAGGGGGTTAAAATCTGTATGGTTCACCTTTTAATAAAATAATTAATCTAATCCATAGTTCTGAACTCTTAACATGCAGCCTGGAATTACCCTTTAGGTTTTGCACTTTTCTAAATTGTGTGATGCAGTTGAGCTTTCCAGTAAAAAAAAACATAGAAAATTGCATGCATTACAGGTAACTGGATATAATGATATGTTATTAGTTTACAATATAACTAGAGTTTTCTAAGTATAAACTTCTTAGGAAAGGTAAAGATTCCCCTTGACAATTTTGTCCAGTCGTGTTCGACTCTAGGCGGCGGTGCTCATCTCCATTTCCAACCCATAGAGCTAGCCTTTGCCCGCAGACAATCTTCCTTGGTCATGTGGCCAGTGCGACTAGACACGGAATGCTGTTTACCTTCCCACTATTTATCTACTCGCATTTTTGCATGCTTTCAAATCGCTAGGTTGGTGGGAGCTGGGACAAGCGACGGGGGCTCACTCCGTCGCATGGATTCGATCTTACGACTGCAGGTCTTCTGACCTTGCAGCACAGAGGCTTCAGCAGTTTAACCCGCAGTGCCACCACATCCCTAAAACTTCTTAGGAGTAGTTTACTAATTTTGATGGTGCTTTGGAACCAGGTAGATTGCCCAGGTCCAGACAAATGGTAGAGCATGTAGCTCTGTCAGCACACATGCTCCAAGTGGTCTCAGCTAGCCCCTCCCTCAGGAGGTACCGCGTGAGTTTGAGCTCCCAGCCCCTGGCTCCATACCTAGCTGCTCCACCCACTGATCTATACCAGCCTGGCTACAAAGATAGGTACACAAATGAGATTAGGGTTTTTTAAAGGCATTTGTCATGGAGATTTGCTGCTATTTACATATATTAGAGGAAATTATGTACAAAATGTATACAGATTTTTGTACAGATTTTAGAAGACACTGTAGACTGATGCAGAAAGGTAGTGGAAGAAAGTTGTATTTGAAAAGAAAAATGGAAGATAGAAAAACGAAACACATTTGAGCATGCTGACTAAAGAAGCAGCGTGTGCCTGAAATAGGGCAGTGATGTTTGATTAATTACAGTGCAGTCCTAACCGGCAAGAAGGAATCTAAACTTTTCCTGGCTAGGGAGGTTGGAAATGATTTATGCTGGTATATTGTCTATCTCCCTGGACCAGAGCAGAGAGCACTCTACCCATTTTTACCCTTTTTAAGGCTCTTTCGCTGGCAGATTTTGGCTGGCACAGTAGTGCCTCTGGCAGATCCTTTTGTAGGTAGATTTCTTCGAGATTAACCACCAGAACAGGGTTGTGCCAGCAAAACAGCATTTCCACTGGTGCTAGGGTTCCACTGAAAGCAACAGGGAAATCAAAAGGAAAAGTTAGCCATGACCTGGATTAAGCCCCATTGAAGTCAGTGGGAATTTAATTTAGGGCTGGCTCTTTTAACGCTGACCCAGCAGAGAATATGCTGGAGGATTACTGTATGTGTATACAAAGATACAGAAGAGGAAAAAGGCTGAATGCTCATTACTAGCCATTTGCAGTGTTTGTGACTCAATAGTCGTATTTATGTATAGTAACTTCTAAGACAAATATTTATACAGTGGCTGAAATCCTGTTGCTTAGCCTAGTAATTTGCACTAAAGTAGGTCCATTGAATCAGAGGGGTTTGGTGAGTCAGTGCCTTTGTGAGTTTGTGATGCAAAGACACTCTTATTGTGACTTAGTAAGCTGCAACTAGAGCAGGTCCATTTGGATCAGTGAGACTTACGGAGGAATTAGCTCACCAAATCCCCACTGATTCAATGGGCCTACTCTAGTACAACTTACCAGGTTAAGCAACAGAATTTCACCCATTGTTTACATGAAAACAATAGCCTGGTTACTTTATAGGCCTATAGTGCCAAGATCCTGACACTAAACAAAACAAAATCAGTCTGTAATCCTATACCTACGCACTGTATTTGGAAGCAAGTTCCATTGGTCTCAGTGGAACTTGCTTCTGACTACTGTATTCATATGTAGGATTGTTGTGTTCAAGCTTAGTGTCTCTAGACACAGGCTTCCTCATACAGATCATCACATTTTCTATGATGATCACATTGTCTATGTGAGGATACTCATGCTGAAATGTTTGTTTTTCAGGCTTAGGTGACATGGCTGTCTCCAATACAATAGGCAGTAATGTGTTTGACATTCTTGTGGGCCTTGGAGTACCCTGGGGTTTGCAGACAATGGTGGTTAATTATGGCTCAGTTGTAAGTATGCCAATGTGAATGTTTCTTTTCAGACCTTTGATCATCAAAGAAAATATAGTTGATTTTTGTAGTGCCATTATTAACCCTTAGAAAATTCAGTGAGTTGAGACTTCATTTAGTCTCGTTAAAAGTAAGCCCACTGAAATGAGTGGGCCTTAAGATTATCATAACTGAAGTAAGCCCCACTGATTTCAATGAATCTGTTCTAATTGTGACTAAGTCAAGGACCAACCTATACTTTCTCTCTAAAATAATAATAACCCAAATCCTTTGTGGACAAGTATTCAGAGGGCAGTGGCACAGGCATGATAACATTACAATGGCAGGAAAGCTGGAGAATGCCAAGAAAGCGTTCATCTTAATTTTGGTGAGTTGCCATCTTCATTTGCTTCTGCAAGAGAGTGGCTTCGTTGGGAACAGCAGGCATAACCCATGTTCCAGTAGGCCCAGATACCACGTGGCAAAATGCCCCAGAAGGCTCTGTAGTAATAAGGAAACTTCTGTTTCAGAGGAGCAGCCACTAAATGCCATTTTATCAGTTGAATCTGCCCCAGATCCTACCAGGTTCTCAAAAAGACTTGATGCCATTGTTCTCTCTACTGGCATTAAAGCTATAACATTGTTTTGTCCCCACTGTAGTCTTGAGACCAGTGGTTCCCAGCCTTGAGTTCCCAGATGTTCTTGAACTGCAACTCTCAGAAATCCTAACCAACATAGCCTCGTGGCGCAGTGGTTAAACAACTGTACTGCTGCCAAAACTGTGCTCACAACCTGAGGTTCAATCCCAGGTAGCCGGCTCAAGGTTGACTCAGCCTTCTATCCTTCCGAGGTTGGTAAAATGAGTACCCAGCTTGCTGGGGGGGGGGGCAATATGTAGCCTGCATAATTAACTTGTAAATCACCCAGAGAGTGCTTGAAGCACTATGGGGCGGTATATAAGCAGCAGACTTTGCTTTTGTTTTAGTGGTGAAAGCTCCTGGGAGTTTTAGCCCAGGAGATTTGGAAACCCAAGGTTGGGAACCACTGGCCTAGACAAAGACAAATGGAGACACTCCATTATACTCTGGATGCTTCAGATATATGGACCTTCTTTTGGTTCCTGTCATTAGTTAATACGTTGTTGTGGATGCAATATTTGTTCTCTGATTCTCTGCTTCTTTATTAAACCCTTTACTACTTAATTCTGTGGCAAAATTCCAGTTCACTTAAAATGAACAGATTTTCTGTTGATTTTCTTCATTGGGGAATGAATTCTGTAGATTATTTTTACTTACGTAGAAAATGACGGTTTACTACTTAGTGCCTCTTTGAGAAATAATAAATATTTCAAAATTACACATTTTCTTTTTTGGATTTTTACAGGTCAAGATAAATAGCAAAGGATTAGTTTATTCTGTTGCACTTCTTCTCGGATCTGTAGCTCTAACTGTAAGTGTGCTTCCATTATGTCACTCATGCTCAGCATCCAGACAGTTTAATATTATGCATCTTTATAATATGAATGATAATGTTCTAGGGTACGTTCTCCAGATATCCTAGCAGTTTATGTGTTTTTGCTTGCCATTGTTAGCCATTGGACTCCAGAAAGCATCACAAAAGACATATTATCTTGACATTGTAGGCAACATGATCCAGCTCCTAAAGCTGGATCATGCCAAATAGTTATTTTTATTTATTTATTTGCAGCTGTCATCCAGTTAAAGAAAGCTTAAATGGATTGATCACACGAGTGATGAGATAGTTAGAACGCCCATTTCATTTTGCCCACACCCTGGCTAACATTGGTTTCTGCTGTGCAAGGCTTTAATGTGGATGCAGCCACACATTAAGGGGGATATGTTTTCCCTGCAGTTGATCCATTCTCCTTCTCATAGTGGGATTTCCTCAGAGGTATATATTATACACTTGTAAATTAAGGCTCTGTTTACTTCCAGTGACAAATCACCAAACAAAGTTTGCTAAATACAAGATACATAGATGATAAAAATCACATGCTAGAACAAAGAGACATTTTTAACCGTGTGAGGGTACACCTTTTAAAAATACATGTTTTGTAGCATCTATTTTATTTGATCCTTGATTAACGTATGCATGCATCATGTTTTTTCAGGTTGGAGGGATCCACATAAATAAATGGAAACTTGACAAAAAACTGGGCATCTATGTCCTCCTGCTTTATGCCATCTTCTTGTGTTTCTCAATACTGATAGAGTTTAATGTCTTTACTTTTGTCAACTTCCCAATGTGCCGAGAAGAGGAATGAAAGAAACAGCTGAGAGATTTCATCTAGATCCATTCTGCTATAAATGCCAGGGGACATTTTATAGCTCCACCTGCTTCTCCAAAACTGTGTGTCTTTTTCCTGCTTCATCAATTTACAAGCACTTTCCCTCTACTTGGAAAGAAAACATTGTTTCTTCGAATAACATGGAGGCTTAGAGCAACCAAAGCATTTTCGTCTTCTTTTTCCTCTCGGATATTCTGAATCCTTCATGCAGCTCTGTGGATCTCATACAGAACTTATAAAAAAGCCCCCTGGTATCCTGTTGCAGTTTTCAGATTTTTTTTTAAGCAGGTGATTGTCATCAACAATCAAGTTTGAGATGAAGTATGGGACAGCATCTCTTCTTCCTTTGGAGAATCTATGGCTTTCCAAATAAAAAGGAAAAGAAAATGAGACAGGATTTGATCTTGACTCATTTTGAGCATCTCATTTATGAGGCTGTAATGTACTTCTTATCACATGCGCAACTAAGGACACTTCTCCCTTCAAGTGCTCTGTTGATAGAGAACTTTCACTGATGCTGAGGAGTACTTAGAGGTGCTCGTTAGTACTTTACCACCCTTCATAAAATTATTTAAAAATAATGGCTTGAAAGACATAAGAACAATCCCACCCATAACAAGGAGGGAAAAGATAATTCAATACTGCTGATGATGTAGTTCTAACCACCACCACAAAACTCTAAAGTCTAAAATACAGGAAACTGGATATCCATACTTGAAAACAGCAACTAAACAAGGAACTGTTGCAAATATAAAAGAGTGACTATATATGGAATGTTAAGCTTTCGAGTGAAAAAAGTTGTGCCAGCACCAGTTAGCTTATTCACTGTTGTTAGAGGAAAACTGAAAAATAACATCCTGGGTGCTCAGAATCTGGTTTTGGAGGTAGATCGTCTGAAAAATGTAAGTCAAATCCAAATGCCTTCCAGGTCATCATAGATGTACGATGGATTTGGAGGTGTTTTATATGTGGGTGTGGGTGTAGGTGTGGGTGAGCTCACGTGCCCCACTCATCCTCTAAATATAAAAAGATTGCTGCGCAATCTCCAGTTTGTTGATGTTCCTCTGAGAAGATGAGCTTCCTCAGTGCCCAGTGAAATAGTTAAACAATTGTTTCACTGCATGCTTCCATCCCAACGTTTAAAGGCAGGCTCATATTAGAGCAAATGCTTTGGAAAATTGGATCCTGGTGAAAGCAGAACTTGAAAAAGTTATTTTTTTGGACTACAGCTCCTGCCATCCAACTACCAACCCTTGCTGGGGGATTCTGGGTATTGTAATCCCACCAAGTAACATTTCTAAGCCCAAAGACCTGCTCACCTTTGGAAAAAAATATTATTTTTTTAAATAATTGTGGCAAATTACTTATTATGTGGAGCTGTACCTTTGTTTCTACCCAGTGCATTTGAATTCGCTTTTGGTCACAATCTAGGACTCCCCAGTCAATACTGAGAATATCATTGTTCACTGACAAAACTTGTTTGTCACTAAGATTGAGAACTCCTTCCACTTACGAGAATATCATTGTTCACTGAGACTGACAAAACTTGTTCGTCACTAAGATTGAGAACTCCTTCCACTTAAAGCCATTGGGAAAAAAGGTTGAAAAAGTTTCCATTAGCTTGAAAAGGTGGGGGACAGGCATATGAGCCCTTTAATTTCAAGCCATACTGCCAATTATATGGGGAAAAAATAAACAAAGGTCCCTACTATATATATATTGATCCCCCCCCCACATTACTCAGGATGTTGCAGAGTAGATTTTCTCCCACCAGGTGCACATGGAGAACTATTGTTGGTTTCATGACATGTATAAAATCATTTTTAAAAGCATAAGCAATTGGGCAGCTGAGCTGGATTCTTAGCCTCCCAAAGACTGCACTCTTGGTTTCCGTCATCCACAAGTAGGTTTCAGCAATGAAATGGGCCTAGAGTTTTATGGATATGACAGAGAAGGAAACTTGACCCATCAATATAAGAACATTTGGTACAACTACCACTGGTGGAAAAGACAACGTATAAGTTTCTCTCATCCCCTCGTTCTTGCTCTTCCCATACAACATCTGAAGTAATGCCTAGTGACTCCAGGACACTGAAATTCATCAGCTGATGAATGTTCAGCTGATGAAATTCAATATCTAGAAGCACTTGTGCCTCTCCTTGAGGGAAACACAAAAGGTCCCATTTCAGACTTAAGAAGAAGCACGAAGACATGAATTTCATGTCCCTTGTGCTATATGTGAAATGATTCTTATTCGCATGGCTTACTGAAAAGGTAATCCCAACGCAGTGCCAGAGCTATGCACAGGCTAAGTAAGCTATAGTTATGGTCTCAGGTTATTAGGCCTCTAAATGCCTCTAAACAAGTTTCTCAATTTAAAGACATTTTTTTAAAAAAATCATCCAATGCATTGGCTTTAATTCCATTTATGGATTCCAAAAATAATATACTGTAAATTGTTGATGAACACAGAATTACTACAGAAGCACAGATTATCTATATACATAGATTTTTGTGGGTATTATTTTTTTTACATACTGCTAAATAAAACAAAATATTTTATCTGTTTAAAAACACATTAAATATTTATTTTTGCATGCATGACTCTTTGGCAGAGTTCCTGCAATAACTGCACCAACAACAGAATGCTGGAGTGCTGGGGAAAGCAAAGAGGACTTTTCCAAATAAACTTGATTATTGTTTCATTTCTCCTTCATCCCCATCTTTGATATCCCAGCTGGTTAGCAATACCTCTGTTGGCAAATCAGTAAAGTTTCTCATGCAGTTAACTCACCTAATGCAGAAGAGTATCCATTCCTTTGACCAAGTCTTAATTGCACACCTCATATCATCCCGAGCTCAAAAATGTTCCTTTTTCAGAGGACAACTCCTATAGTCCCATAATCAGCACAGTTGTACTTCCAAAAAAGTAACATTTCTGGGCTGGAATACAGTCCATAGTCCAAAGACGTCCCAGTTTATAGTGACCATACAGGCATTTTTGGAAAGGGGGGGAGGTGTAAAATATAAAAAGAGCCTGGCAGCCTTCTGTGGTCAAATAGAGGGCTTCAGAGAGAGTTTTTCTGCTCACAGGAAACATTTGAAATCAATCAAAATGGAAATGAAGATTTAGATGTTCTGTGTTCTATTTCCCTTGGCCAACTGAAAATACTGTAAGATTCTTGAACACAGCAAAGCTGTGTTACAGGATTGGGTCATATTTGCATCTTTTCATTTTGTTTCTTTTCTTTTGGAAAAGAAACATTTGTAAATAAGGTACTGCCGATAGGACTTCCGTACCACTTCCTCCAAGTGACTTCTCGAGGGAATGGAATCCTCCAGAACTACGTATTTCACCCATTACACAAAGCTTGTCTGGGTTTGCTAAGCTGTGCATACTCAGCAGAGATCTGCAGACAAAGCTTGCTCTTTAATGAATGCTGAGTATGTGATAAAATATGCTTCCAAATGCATTGTTTGTATGGGAAGGATGGCTTAAACTTTATGTTCACATGTGGCTTTTATTTCTTCAGTAAACCAGGTGTGCTGTCAAAAGTGCAATGGGTGAAATTACTCAGCATCAGAAGTGAGAACTGTTGCTTTTTTTGTTTGACAAAGCCCCAGGCAGCATCACCACTCACCATGCTGGTTGGGATATTTGAAAGCTGTCAAACAAAAACAAAACCCTAACATATAGCATCTCTAATCAAACTTCATTTGCTTGTGATCTCGTGCTGAGCAATCAGGTTATGTGCAATCAGTTCAGCAACATCCATGCATCCCTACAAGCAGGTGGAGAAGTGTGAAGAGGCATCTGTGAATCATTCCTTCATCATCCCTAAGAAAGCTTCACAGCCTAATAAGGCACCACCAGATTTGGGAGTTTGGGGGAGTTGGTTGGGTGGGTTTTTTTTTTTCTGTTTTTCTGTTTTGTTTTGTTTTGTTTTGTTTTTTTTTTGTTTTTTGTTTTGGATGACACCTCATAAAACCCCTCAGCCCACTTAGCCACCGGACATTGTTCCACAAGGCCAGTATCCACCTCAATTCACCATTGCCAAGGAATGGCAAAGGCACAGGTTTTATCCATTTTCTCAGTCATCTTGTCATGTACCAGGCCATGCAAGCAGGCACAAAGCAAACACCATGGAAAATGGACAAAATTGATTTAGTAATTGCCAGTAAATCAATGGATACTGGCCAAAAACAAGAGAGAGTAACTTTTCCAAGCTTTGGTCTGGACACATTTCATTTTTTCAGCATTGTTACGGCAAAATAGAATGAAAATTGAGTTTTAAAAAATAGTTGTTGCAGTTATTTTTTGACAGATCACAGTATACTTAGTTTTACTATCTATATATCTGGATGAGGCCATCTAGTCCACTCTGGAAATCCAGATCAAGAACACCCATAACAGACGGCTGCCTGGCCCATGCCTGAAAACTTCAAGGAGAAAGAATCCATCACATATGGACGCAGAACTATATGATTTGCCAAAGAATGTATACACTTTATGATGACAATGATCAATCACATACAGTCATTTATGCTGAATATTCCTATAGTACTAGGGTAGACAATGTGGCCCTGCCTGTATTGTTCAGTTGCAGTGACTATCATTGCTAACCATCAGCAGTGCTGCCTAGAACTGATAGGTGTTGCAGCCTATCAGCATCTGGCAGACCCACTTTACCATCCCCTGCCATAGCACTTTTGGCCCATTTGCCAAAGTTCATTTGCATCCAAGCCATGTGGATGAAATGAGCTTCTTGTGGCAAAAACCCTTCGGCATTTGACCAATCCTTATGCTTACAGATGTCTCCAGAACTCCAGCATTCTTGCAAAAGTTTGCCAAGAACCTCCAGGATGGTCTCAGACTTGTGCCTTGTATTATCACTACTGTGATAAAATAACCCCTATAGCCTGGGGGCGGGGGGGGGGAATGGGAGTCAGGTCTGACTCTGTCCCACAGCCCCCTATCCATAAAATTTGATGGAGTGTGCAAACTGCTAAAAATTTATTTTACATCTAACAAAACCATGTCTAAAAACTTACATGCATTAGAGAAAGCTTTAGTTGGATAGACTGTAGAGATGGGCGATTCATGAAGTTAATGGGAGAGAAAGCTCTTTCTTATGGTACTGAAAGGAAAATCAGATTAAACAAGAAAAATTCCTATATTTGGACATGTGTATTTGTAAAATCGATTAATGCTGATGTAAGGCATTTTGCAGAAGTCTTGCAAAATGGATTTATAAACCAGCAAACCAGCGATACTTTGCATTTAAGAGGGCCTGTAGATCAAAACCTACAAACCATCACATTAGAACATGAATGTCCTACTAGATTATATTTGCGCTCTCCATTTCTGCAGTAAGTCACTTTACCTTGATTTCACACCAGTGTAAATGAAATCAAGGTACCTTTACGGGTCTGTGCTTCATCCAAAATATTTCAAAGCACAATCCTATTTATATATTTATTTACTACAAGTATATTTGTATCATTATGTGGACATTAAAGCAGTGTAAAAGAATGTAACAAACGATACAGATGCAAGCAAAATAATAAAATCACATCAATGCAATATATCCAGTAAAGCCAATATATAGTATATATAATAAATTGAAACAACGGATTAAAATGCCTGGACAAACAGATAGCTTTTGAGTTGGCATCCAAAAGACTGTTGCGTCAGTGTCTGCCGTCTCTTCTTTGTGACATATTTTGCCCAAGATACATGGGAGATTACTTTGACATTATTCATTATTAATAAATTATAAATTAATTATTTTAGAACACAGGTTGATAAAAGGAAAGGCACTGCTTGGGTACCAATGCTGTTTAGTGCTCCACCAGCAACTTGACATGCACTTGGAAGTGAATGGGAAAGCAAGCACATCTCTTTTAGAATTGATAAAAGAAGAGTTTTGCCTAGTTGTACCAATTTCAATCCTGGCAGCTGCATTCTGAACTTGTGGAAGCTTCTGAGTCATCTTCCAGGTCAGCCCCATGTACAGCATATTACGGTAATCCAGCCCCAGATGATAGCATTCTTAGAGAGATGAAGATGGCTTGAAAAAATATTTTTCAACTACACTGTGCATTCCTCCCACTTTTGCTTCAGCTAAGTAACTTTTACCTTATTTGGGGATTTTTTCATGGTTCCTAAAAAAGCAGAGTTGTTTGTTTTTAAAATTTATTTTAGGGATTCATGTATTTCCTTAGTACACTGGCCTCAAGGCAGCTAATATGTA